ATGAGAACTCAAGGTAGGCTGGCCATCACAACTACTGCCTGGGGTAAGTCTAACGAAATCAATCCAGGGTCCCTTAAATCTCGTCAAGAGTGTATTGCTGGCCAAAGGACTTGATCTGAGATGACATTTATAGGAAGCAAATGAAATTCAAATACAGCTAATAGCTCCCCTCCCTGACTGTGTAATTATGTGTACTCACTATTTGTGTAGCATGTTATTATTTAAATGTCCGTAATTTCAGCCCCAGCAGGCCAAGGGCCCTCGAAGAGTGGCCAAGGTCTCAGCCTCTGCCAGTCCTTTCTAAAGCTTTTGTCAATTTATTACATCCATGAAAAGTGGCATTATCTACAACAGAAAGTAGACACACGCTCAGCAAATCTTACCACCTTGAGTGTAAGCCCAGCAATAACCAACAAGCTGTAATGATGGCATCAATTGCTACACAGACAACTCGTGAGGCTGTTCAAAACTCCCATTTCCTACCAACAGTAGGGCCAAAAAAAATTTCATTCCTTGTCACTATATAACTACAGAAACAAGACTGAGAGCAAACATGGATATTATGACATGAAAAACGAGTTGTCTCCACTATCTCTTGTCTGCTCGGGTTATTGCGAATCACAGACCTGCAGAACCAGGGTGGCTGAGCTCACCTGCTCAGCTACGAGCTGCAATGTTCACGCACCGTTTCCAAGCACTGGATACCGGCCCTCCTTCACACAAATGAAGGGCAAAGGGCTGCCTGTTCCTTATGCCAGCATGCCATTAATTTAGAAGTCACCTCTATTTTATTTACAAATTAGATAAAAATTCTGTAAAATCTGTTCTGCTGCAATCTTTAAATATTACAGTGAAAACGAATGATTTTTCACACGAAAGCTAATAATCCAACATTATTTTCTAATAATAAAAGATTCAGAAACAATGCTGTACAAAACAGGAAAAGGGAAACAAAACAAAACATCAGCTTTTCAGTATTCCTGCTGCAAAGCTCCAATGCAGTCTGCATGCATTCTGACTTGAAAGAAGTACTGGATTCAGTTTCCAGACTTCAGCTGCAATTCCAATTCTGCTACTGTGAATTCAATACCTGTGTGACCTCAAGAAAGTCACTACCACACCTAACAGTCATAAAGGCCCCATAGTCGGATGGGGCTTTCACCTTACAGTTGGAAGCGCTAGGGCTCTCGAAGGCATGTCACTGTCCCCAAGCTCAAAAGCATGAAAGAGGACACAGAGGCAGAAGATCCCACCACTCTCTGGGGTGAAGGGACACGTTCTTACCCTTGCCTGACCAGCAGCATCATATGCCACCTCCTAGCAATGGCTCTGGACTGGACAATCTTAAAACTACCACCAGACAAATTTCTGTGACAATTAAACCAGTGGCAACACTGACATTTGAAAAGGGCTCTTACAGGGTGGAAACTAAGCAAAAAAAAAAAAAAAAAAACCATTGAGAAAAGCACAAAACTTTCATGATTTAAGAGCATTACAGGGCTGGACGTGGTGGCTCATGCCTGTAATCTCAGCACTTTGGGAGGCCGAGGCGGGTGAATCACAAGGTCAAGAGATCGAGACCATCCTGGTCAACATGGTGAAACCCCGTCTCTACTAAAAATACAAAGAAATAGCTGGGCATGGTGGCGAGTGCCTGTAATCCCAGCTACTCAGGAGACTGAGGGAGGAGAATTGCCTGAAGCCGGGAGGCGGAGGTTGCCGTGAGCCGAGATCACGCAATTGCACTCCAGCCTGGGTAACAAGAGCGAAACTCCGTCTGAGAAAAAAAAAAGCATTACATTCCATCATCTCCTGTGATACGCTTTGGCTCTGTCCCCACCTAAATCTCAACTTGAATTGTATCTCTCAGAATTCCCACATGGTTGTAATTGAATTGTGGGGGCCAGTCTTTCCCAAGCTATTCTTGTGATAGTGAATAAGTCTCAATAAAACTGATGGTTTTATCAGGGGTTTCCGCTTTTGCTTCTTTCTCATTTTCTCTTGCTGTCGCCATGTAAGAAGTAAGTGCCTTTCACCTCTCTCCGTGATTCTGAGACCTCCCAGCCATGTGGAACTGTAAGTCCAATTACATTTCTTTTTCTTCCCATTCTTGAGTATGTCCTCATCAGCAGCATGTAAAAAGCTAATACACCCTGCCTCCACTCCCACTAACCTAGCCTCTGGTTTCATTTGACATTTAAATGTTTCTAAGAGATAGTACATGAGTGACAGCTAACTATAAAGTATGCATTCAAACTAAAGGGATTTACAGAAGAGCATGCATATACATACACACATATATACACAGACACACACACACACACACGTACGTTCATATGTGTATGCACAAAACAGCTTGCAGTTACAACTACCCCTACTCCCACAACCTCACCAGTCCAAACGCCTTGGTTTCTCCCTACTGTTTCAGCTTACTCTGGATCACACTCCCAAACACCTAAAGAAGAGGAGCTCTTCCCATGATACGAATTCTAGTTTCCTGTTCTTCTCAGCAGCTCGCCAAAATAAGAAAGCACACTTTAACATAGCAGCTGCCTTCAAAATAATGATTTTTTTTAAGAGATAGTCTCGTCTGTTGCCCAAGCTGGAATACAGTGGTGTGAACATAGCTCAATGCAGCCTTGATCTCCCCTGGGTTCAAGAAATCCTCCTGCCTCAGCCTCGTGAGTAGCTGGGACTAGAGGCATCTGCCACCCTGCCAGGCTAATTTATTATTGTTATTATTATTATTATTATTAAATTTAGGAAAGACAGGGTCTCACTTTGTTGCCCAGGCTGGTCTTGAACTCGTGGGCTCCAGCAATCCTCCCTATTCGGCATTTTGAAGGGCTGGGATTGCAGGCATGAGCCACCACAGCAAGGAAAACAATGATTCTTAAAGCACACTCGAGTTATGTTTACTCAGACTGCTATAGAAATGAAACAAACAGATTAAAAAAAAAAAAAAAAAAAAAAAAAAAACATAACCTTGGACTGCTGCCTTCACAAAAACCCACAAAACGCAAACCAGAAACAGGCATATTCACAGCAATTTCACAACCAAAACAGAAGCCTCCGTGTCTCCTATTCTTTTTAAAGACTTAAAGTCTTTATCTGAATGAAAAGCAAACTAGTATGACGAAAACTAACCGTCCCTTATGAAGGTGGTGCCAGAGTAAATAGAAAGCCTTCAATGATCCCAATGGGGGCGTCTCTGCCAACTTAGATTTTCTCCTAAGTATCGTCAAGCCCTTGACTATGCCGAAGCTACACCTACATTTGGCCAACTGGCTAACAGCACTGGTCGCTTCTGGAATGCAAACGTTAGCTTTTGTTCGTTCACTCAAATTTCACCTTTATTAAATCAAGGACATCTGGCTAACTTCTTGTTCTAAAAGCCGATATGTTTGCCCCTTAAGAAAAGATGGGTGTTTTTGTTTCCACTGTTGGCAATTCCAAGAAACACTAAAGCATTATACCACTCCTGAACAGCACCGTTCAGCATCAAAACCACACAATCTCACAGCAGAGCAGCCACTGCTCCACTCTAGATGCCAGGATTAAGTGATGTTCTCCTTTGTACCCAATCCCCCACATCTAAGCAAGAAACTACGGTCAACAGGAATCAATGACAATCAACACATCAAACGTTCTCCAACTTGACACAAGGTTTTTAGTTTACTATATTATCAAGCAACAAATGGCTAGGGTCCCTATGTGCTGGAGACCCACATGAAAAGGCAGAATGCCTTATAAGAAAGTAGCTATGAAGGTCTAAATTGAATGCTATGGCCATAGATTCCACAACTTATTTTGTTTTCTGCAAATGTTAAGACTCAAAATGGGCCTTTCTCATACATGTTGGCTGAGATTTGTTGAGGGACGCACACATGACTGAGCCACTATGGCCTTAATGGTTGACCTCCAAAGCCAAGTCACCCATAAGAAAGAAAACCCAGGAGGGTGGACAGAGACTCTTGTTTCAAGTCACGCAATAGCAGAAGGAGACTCAGGAAACTCTGCCATGGCCCCATAAAAGGAAAGCAGCAACAGGTACCGCCTGTGAGCACTAGTTTCAACAGGAGGCTGCCAGATAACTCACCTTACAACTAAGGTGGTGGGAAACAAATTGGAAGCCATGGTGAATCTCTCCTTTTGCACCCTGACACCCCATATATGCTGACTCTACTAAGACCACAGCCACAGCTCTCAGAAAAGAACAGAACCTTGCCCCAAGGAAGCATAAACCAAAACATGGTCAATTCATGCACTTTAACTGTAATCCCAGTAAGTGCACAAAGACATTACAGAATGTCACTTCATTCCCATGGTATATAATAGTAAACCACAAGCACGTTTGTCCTCAGATGCTTTTCGTTAGATGACCTCATCTGTACCCAGGAACCCTGTTCAAAACAGACATGAGAACAAACTCAGATTGGAACGAGTTTCTTTCCAGGCATCAAGGAGCCAAGTGGTAACCATCCAGGAAACAGCACGCTTCTGAAGGCATGGGAATTCTAAGTCACAGCATACTTGTCCCCACTACAGCAACCTGCCCAGCCTGATCAACAAAAAAGGAAGCAGGGATGAGAAGCCTGTTGGGTCAGAGAGCAGGAAAGTCAGTCGACAGAAAGATTTAGGCTACTTCCTATACAACCCGGGTACAGGAACTAAAGACTCCACATTTCAGCAAGATCATCAGAGTTCTACTCAGGCACCTGTGTGGAAAGACATATACATACAGAAACACCAGCAAGACAGAACCTACGGAATAGACTAAGGCATTTTTGTCCACTGTATAATGCAGTACATAAAAGAACATAAAACTAAGCCTATAAACCCAACAGGATGTCCGGAGTGCAGATTCACCTGGCCTCAGACTGCCCTTAAGTGCCTAGAATAGGAAACACAAGCTGCCAGGACACATCCAATTCAGAAATAAGGTCATGCCCAGAGATATCGTACGTTCCGACAAGATATTCCAACGGGAGTCAACTCACCATTCACAGTTTTCAGGCTCCCAGCAATGCCTTCCCCATGCTGCCTCTTCTGGGCATTCTTGAACTCCTTCAGAGACAAATAAAGGACTTTACGTACCACCCGTTCTTCTGACCACGGAATCCCATCACTGTCATCCTGCGGAAACGTAAGAGAGGAGTTACTGAATAGAAAAGCAAGCCAATATTCAGAGTCAAAATAAACCTTCCATTAGAGGAATTTCCAAACAAGTACTGTGTGACCAAGACCCAGTTTTGGAGGTAAGAATTACACCCATAAGGTCAAGGGACAATGGTCTTTCTGGACAGACCTCGAACAAGTGAACCCACAGGATGTTAAAAAGAATGAAAGCAGGCCAGGCGCAGTGGCTCACACCTGTAATCCCAGCACTCTGGAAGGCCAAGTTCAGTGGATCACCAGAGGTCACGGGTTCAAGACAACCCCCGGCCAACATGGAGAAACTCACCTCTTTCGAAAAAAAAAGCCATACACTTTCTCACATCCAAATCCCTTCACCAATTAGTAAACAGTAGTTTTATATCCCTGACAAACTTCAGAAAAAGGTGTTGTCATATCCACAACAAGAAGGAAAATGAATCATTTTACTGGAGAGTTTTAAACAAACAGTGAGCAATACCACAATGTACACTGCAATACAAATACATACAAAACTCTTAAAAATGTTGCTGTCCCCCTTGGGAGTTGCAAGGATACAGCAGATATAGGTGCTGTGCATTCAAGGAATTTACAGTCCAGTCAGAAGACATGGAATCGGATCTGCATTGGACACTTAAGTAAAACAATTACAAATAAAAGGAGAGAACACTGCAGAAGAAGACAATCGATCTTGGGGGCTTACAACTGGCGTGAATGTTTTTAATGTACACATTAATGATGGTTCTTGAAGGTCTCATTTAAAAGTAGTAAACTTCTGTCTGTTGCTCCAGATTGAATGCAGAGATGACAAAAACCAAATAGCCACCCCAGAGACTATTCCAGCAATTCCAGTCATAAAGACATAAAGAAAGATTCAAATTTCAAAAGCACTACACAGGGGAGAAAAAAATTATACAGAGACTTGAGAGAGCAGGAGGTAGAAAGGCAGATGTGACTGACAACAGTAACTAAAGCAAGGTAAATGAGAAGAAATACATGTTTAAAGAACCAGCAGATTTAGTCATGATAGTTTTCACTATTAGATGATGATTCACATGGCTAAAGACACTCAGAGGTTCAATTCTGTAGCTATACGCACACTGTTAATCTAAGAAGGACTTACATTCAAACACCTATATCAAAGACTTAAACGTTTTATAATAGTTCATTTTAGAAATGTAAGCATTTGAGCACAGATATTTTAAGCTCTAAAAGAATAAAAAATGACTGGGCGTGTTGGCTTATACCTATAATCCCCCTACTTTGGGAGGCAGAGGTGGGTAGATCACAAGATCAAGAGATCGAGACCATTCTGGCCAACAAGGTGAAACCCCGTCTCCACTAAAAATACAAAAACACCAAGCTGGGCGTGGTGGCACACGCCTCTAGTCCTAGCTACTTGGGAGGCTGAGGCAGGAAAATTGCTTGAACCCAGGAGACAGAGGTTGCAGTGACTGAGATCATACCACTGCACTCCATCCTGGCAACAGAGCAAGACTCAAAAATAAAAAATAAAAAAAGAGAGAGACAGAGAGGAAAGAAAGAAAGAAAAATATTAATATCCCAGGTAAAAAAAAATCACCATGTTGGATATTCAGATTCCCTTTTTTCAAAGAGAATGCCAAATATCTCGTGGGCAGTCTGGTGCTGTTCTCCTTGTTCATACAAAAGAATAGGTTTTTACTCCCTAACATTGAAGGATCATGGAAAACTTCCAGGAAACTCAATGAGAAGGCTAGATGATCTGATATCTCCTCCAGAACTTATATTCCTGTACCCTGCATACAAACTTCTTTTTAGAAATCCAGCCACAGAGACTCTAAGCCCTAAATAACATAAGCTGCGCTTTTGTTAAGCTTCAAGGATTTCCTAGAATGAGAGTAATTCTCCATCTCCTACCACAAGGGGAAGAAAGGCCTGAGGAAGGAAGCTAGGATTTCCACCTTCTCCTTAACATCCTTCATTCCCAGGGGCCTGCCAGGCTGAGATTTCTGATTGCTGGGCAGTGCCTCTAGAAGAAGGAGGTACATCCTGTCTTCCTCCCAACTCTCCTGAGACAACCAAGACATTCACAGACCGGGGTAGGGGTCAGGGTTCAGACATGAAGGCTAAGAGAAGTCCGCAAACCTTGCTTCAACCTCACAAGAGAAACACAATTTCTAACCTGCTCCTGGGTGTAGGTCACTGGAGACTTTCCCAATCAAATGATTAAAACCTGGAAAAAATGCAGCACTCTGACCAGACTCCATTTGAGGAACCCAAATAAGCAACCTGAGTAAAACGCAGCTGACTTGACACAACACATGAAAAGCATGACATAGCTGAGTTAATCTTTACAGCAACTCCCTTGGGTTTGCAAGAAAGCTCTCCTAATACATTAACTGCAACTGAATGTTGGTGTTAACCGCAGGAGGAGTTAATTCCTATTAGGCTGAAGTCTACCTCTTCAGCAGCCTCCGTCCATCCACAAAGGCTGCCAGGCAGAATTCTCTTCATCACCACCAGGTTGCTATTCTCACTGTTCAAATCTCCACAACGAACAATGACAACTATTATTTCCTACAGGTACACAGTTTATAAATTATAAGGCCCCAACCAAAATAGCTTTCAATGTAAAACTTCCATCACGATTTACCGCATCCTGAGCAGGCTGGTGCCTTCACCCCAACTTCAGGCTCCGTTGAGAGAATCATGCCCCTACAACTGATGTCTAATGAAAACATAAACCATGTGAGGGGAAAACTGCGGCAAAGGAAGTGCATTTAATGTCCAGTTACTGACACAAGCAGCTTCATTACACCTATAAAGTACTTTAAATACAGCAGAAGCACGCCCATGACAAAGATTATGGGGTTTCATATGCTAGACATTAAAATTTAAACTTAAAAACACACAACACACAAGTGTTCTTTCGTCATCTAGAGTGCTGGTTGAGACTTGTCACCTGCTTCCTTAATGCTGATGCAAGACACAAATATAGTAGACAAGTTGACTCTGTGCTGTTCACAAAATTATTACTAGTAGGTAATAATTCCAAATAGTCCCAATTAAGTTGCCTTTCCCAACTGTAGAGTCATGGTGAATCATCCTAAACTTATACTCCTCTAGCAGAATGCCAGATGCAGACAGCAAAGGTATGCCTGCACTCAACCTATCCAAGACAGGGCAGAGGAGGGCCAGAAGGAATGTCCTTCCAGTTTAATGCAAACTCTGCTGTAGCCATGACATTTGTTAGGATCAACCAGTACTAAATGCTCTGAAAAACAGCCCACATAGAACTCTATCATCAGAGGTCAAGTAAACTCAAAATACACACGCCAAATACAGAGCTTCCTTTCAATTTCCTTTCTCAATAGCTATCTTAATTAGCCATTTAACTATGGGGCAAGGAAACTCTTGTTCCACTGTATCCCAGCTCCTAAAACATGCCTGATACATAAGAGCTGAATAAATAGTTCTGGAATCAATTAGAAACTCAGTGGAGCTCAGTCTCACTATTCCCACTGACATTTATTTACTCCGACTGGCCCTGCCTGTGTCTAATCTCAGGCAACACCCAGGGTCGGAAGTCACACTGCTATCCTCATAAAATACTCCCGACAGTGAATAATCCCAAAGGGCTCAGCCACACATCTGAGTCTGAGCAGAGGCTGGGGTCCTGATAGAGACATCCTTTCTCCTCAGTGCTGCCACCACTCCTTCCTCAGCCACTACGCAGTGTTTCCTGCAAGAAAAAGTGCCAGTCCAGACATCCACATGGCCTTACATAGCTAACAACTCTGTCACACTCCCTTCTGCTAAATATTGACCAATTATTCCAGCTATTCTTCCTCTACCCCACCTATGACATCTGTTCAGGCTCTTTCTATGTTTCCCAGGAATCTCTCATGCCGCTCTTCACTCACCCTCTATATCCAATAATTCATTCTCAATCACACGTTCAAGTCAACTAATATCTCATTTACACCTCACAGTCTGAAAATCTAAATCATCCACTTGCCCTGTGTAAACCACTGAAAGCCCCTTGGCTCCACGGAGGTAGAATCAGTCAGGTTTTGACAGTGCAGCGCAAAAAACAGAGAACTCTTGGCCTGCTCTGGAATGGCCCAGAAAACCAAGCAGCCCATCCACTCTGGTTAGGGTCAGCTTAATACAGAAGACCCGGGAATAAGACCTTTAAAGGAAAAGCTATGGCTCCTTTTAAACTGAATGATTATTGCCACTTATTTGAAAACAACTGGAGAATTCCTTATCAAAAAGAACAATTGGTCAGGAATCAAACTTATAAATGTCTTAACATTTTTTACTAAAATTAGTAAAAAAGGACTATGCCAAGTGGTTATGGTACAGGTGGTCTGTGGGCCACAACATGGTGTTGCAAGGATACGGGGATTTGTTTAATCTCTAACCTGGACTGTGAGCCATTCTACTTTAAGGCAAAAAGGAATACAAGACGACCCCTCGTTGTCCTGAGTTCTATAATTGACACATAAAATACCAGTGCCCAGAAAGTAAGAACATGACAGCATCACATGCCTTTCAGAGAGCACCACGTAACAACTCTCCACAGCTGACAGTCCAGGCTAGAGATTCAACATATGCTTCCACAACCTTGCAAATCCAGGTGGTGGTCCACCGACCACCCCAACTTTAACCACTCAACATCCTGTTACAAATGCAGACTCCTGGGTCCCATCCAGATCTGAGTGCTCAGACTCTGCATTTTAACTGGATGCCCAGGTGATGCCTATAAACAGTCAAGTTTCAGAAGCTCTGCTCTGCACAATGGGACCCCATCCTGTGCCTATATTCCATCAGAAAGAAAGGATGAAACACCCAAGATGAATGCTTCAAACGTCCATCTCCTGTGGCCAGTATTACTGTCAGAATTTACGTCTATAAATATACCCTGAGAAATCTTTGACTCTTCTTCAGTGATCAAAGAACACAGGGGAAAACAAGGACATGGCACAATGTACTGC